ATAGATAGATAGATAGATAGATAGATAGATAGATAGATAGATAGATAAAACAGAAAACATCCCAATGCTGAAAGTAAGAAAAATGACTAGTCAGTAATGAAGTCAATCTTAATGTAATGGCATCAACATGTTTCGTGTAAATTGAGATTACATCTGAGGGAAGAAGTTGCAAATATACATGCACTGGTCACACACAACACAAGAGCCCATTAGAAGTAAAGCCATTTGGAGATTTCTTAAACTTGGAACCCTTTCCCTTTGAGGTGTTAATCATCACACTGCTAAGAACAATGTTCACAATACGCATTGCGAATGTCCAAACTGTAGTTCACACGTTCCATTAACTAAAAGCAGCCCCGTGCTGTTGAGCCCTTAGAATCCTCAATCAAACAAAAATGGGACAGTGCTCTCTCATAGGTCCAGTTCCTGGTATCTTCAGTTCCCAGATGTTTACTGACTGTTGTTAAAAGAAGAGGAGATGCTGCTGCTGCCACCAAAATCCAAGTGAGTTTTTCATTTTTCATCAAAAGTCAAACGTAAGGGAACATCAAATTTAATGATTTTCATTGCATTGATTTGCAAATATTTGCATTTCTTATTTCAGCACATTGGCTCCTTTGCAATCATAATAAATGGGAGAGCACAAAAAGTGAGCGTTCTCCTAAAATTGGGTGGATTAGAAAGCAATTTAAAAAAAAGCTCATTACAAAGCAGTGCAAAGCACAGAAACAGAGACGTAGGACCATTTCAGACTCAGCTCCCTCCGAAAAGGCCCAGTTTGCACTGATTGACTATGTTGACTGAATACCATCACAAGAGTAGTTTTTTGCTGTTGTTTTAGATTGGCTAAACCTTCCTCATGCAAATCTGGGATATAAATAAGCAATAGAAAAATGAAGCTACAAAACATAAGGGGGAAAAAATATTCATCTTCCCCCAGGTACCCTCACAATTTGGCAGCCATAATCTTGAACAGCTGTAGTTTGGGGGTCCAGATCAGATCACAGCTTGTTTAAAGTTGGTTTGACTTTAGAAATTGAAGGTCTCTCGACAAGCAAAGTTTATGGTCCAGTAATGGAACTTATTAACTGAACAATGCTTGGTTGTGTTTTGGTTGTAAGGTTTTAACAGTGATGTCCATTATAAATCTAATAAAAAGAATTTTTGTTAATTTAAAAGTGCTCCAGAGCACACATGAGGGAACAAAACGAATAGATTTTTTTTTTCAACATTGGTACCATAAAGTTGTTCGACTTGTTTGTTCTGGAAGTTAGATTTAAACACATGCATAGTAATTTGAGGGAGGTCTCTTTTGATAGCAGGTGATGGAGGCGTGCGGAGGTGGAGCTGTGCAGGGGGCAGGTCACAGTCCACACCTGGCCTGGTCCGGAGGCGTGAAAAAGCTGCAGGACACAGAAAGTTTTCCTCACCTAACTTCGCCGTTCACAACAAACTTCTTAACGTCCGTTTCAATTCAGTGTTCTATATCGAAAAAAGGTTTCCAGCCTGCATAGCTACGCATATGATACGCCAATGCGTGTCTGATACGCTTCTCTACGCACGAGGATCTCCCTCAAATCTCCCTCGGTGTGAGGTGAATAGTAATTTCATTGCGCACGACTTCCTCATTAAGATTTTTGGGACAAAACGGCTTGAATAGGTGCCGGATATTCCGGCTCATTTCTAACCTCTGGAATTACATTAACGTGAGAGAAAAAAAAAGAATGAAATATAAATCACGACGTTTCTAAAGCAGCGGCTGCAGTGATTCATCGCGTCGTCCGAACCTCACGACGCGCTCAACGTTCAACCGGTGTCATGTGTCCACCGGACCCTGACCACGTCCGACCGAGGGGGCAGATCAACCCAAACGGCCACGGAAAGGTACGAGCGGATCTTTGATGAGGTTCATATGTGTTGCCTCAAAGTACCGATCAGTATCTAAATCAAACCCTCGAAGAGGACTTGATTAGAAGAAAAAACGCACACGCATAGACTGTAAGGATTTGGAATCATTTTCATACAAAATATGCTTTGAGCATCTCTCATACATCATGAATTTTTCGCCACACCTTTTACTTGACCTCATCCTAGAATATAAAAAGACACAAAACAAACATACTATTTTCGATCTCCTTTTTTAAAAAGACCCCTTCAGTGATCCAGGCTATACTTTTCCTTCCTTTTTTATAAATAGCTGCGCTCCGTTCAGTGACGTGGGATACGCACGTACATGTGTAGGTGAATCTTTGAATGAGCCTCCCCTCCCCTCCCCTTCCCGCCACCACTCCCCCCTCCCACGTTCCCTCTACTAGTTACTACGGGATCTCTATAAAAAGCCTACGGTTGATGGGAGAGCCCGGTCTGTATGGGAAGCGGCTTTGGAGAAGAGGGACGGCGCAGACAGCGTGGCACAGGTTTGGTGTGGACGAAGAGATGGAACAGATTTGTTTCTACATCCACAAAGTGCCGCAGCCCCTGGCCCCGCGGGGAACTTCACTCAGGTAAGTTACATCTCTATTCCTACAGACTCATTTCTTGTTATACTTAAACTTCAAATGTGGCCAGAACACCAGATATGAGGAGGATTTTTTTAAGCCAACTCCTAAAACCGTTCAAGTCTGCTTGAAAACTGACATTATTCTGGTCCTCACTTCCCCCGACTGGAAGTTGCTGCAGTGTGACTCATTTTTCTCTCCCATGTGGGCAGCATTCAGCCTGCAACCTGAAAAATCACCGATAGCCCAAGAAATATTACCAGCAGGGAAAAAATTCACCGCAAAGTCTGTCTTTTTTAAAAAAAACCCACCACTCTCTGGCTCCGTCTGTTTAAAATCTGGCACAGAACAAATATCAAGTATGGCTCATTAAGGTTTTACTTGCCACCCAGGTCCATAATCAAATAGGTAGAGGTGTCTTTGCTGCCACGGTTTGGCATCACTTGCTCCTCTGTAGAGTCCCTAAGAATAGGATGAGCAAATGACACCGAAGTGCTGCACGTGCACGGAGCCAGATGTGCGCATGTGGGCTTTTTCAGTGTGTTGTACCTTTGGGGGAAAAAAAAGAGTTTTTATAATTGATCATATAGTTGGGATGGCGGTGCAGGCTGGAACTGGTCAGGAGAATGTAGAGGTGGAAAAAGTGCTCCTATAAAGTCTCTCGTGGCATCGAGGGGCTTCCGGTGATAGTGATGACATTATTGCCATCACTTTCTTCCGGTGTGGCCATATAGACTCCTTAC